TACATCCCATACTTGGGGGTACAATTAAAGAAGGCCGTGGATGATGGCGACAGCGCAAGGATCCAAACCTACATCGTTGCTCTGGGTACCATCGGAATGTACGAGGTGCTCCCCGTCTTCGAGCCTTTCCTGACAGGCAGGGAGAAAATGACAGCCTTCCAGAAGACGTTAATTCTCGCCAGTTTGAGTAACTTTGTCGCGAATCATCCGAAGAAGGCACTGCCGGGCTTGAAACAGATCTACATGAACAAGACGGAGAGTCAGGAGGTGCGTTGCATGGCCGTCTTCCTGATTCCAATGACGAATCCTCCTCTGGAGGTGCTGCATGAAATCGTGCAGTTCAGCAACAACGACAGCAGCAAACAGGTCAAGTCCGCGGTGAAGTCCACCCTTGAGGAACTGGAAGATTTATCAGATCCAGAATGGCAATCGCTGGCGAAGAATGCTCGGGCTGCGTTGAAGTTATTGGACAGCAAGGATTACGACCCGCTGAAATCCCACGAATTCATCTTTAACAAGATGAAAGAAGGGAACCTTGTCACTGACACTCTTCTTAATTACATCGGCAGCGACAATAGCCCGATCCCTCGTACCATCTACCTTGCGTCGATCCTTTATGATGGCAACTTCAAAGGATCCCCTGTAGAACTTATGACTATGATTCCCAACATGTACTCTCTTATCGACGCTCTGATACCATCCGACAAACGGTCCCTCGTGAAAATGGCCACCGAGAAGATTGCCGAGGAACTGAATATCGTGGGCGATAAACCTGTCTTGCTGGAAGGAAATTTCTTGTGGAGGACGAAGTTCCTATCGCGTTTCATTCCTTATGACAAGAACACTGTTCGCAACCTCCCTAACAGTGAGTTGTTTGTAACCACAGATCTAACATTACATGTTCTTGATGAAACAACTCGAATTTCACAATTACTTTCCAATTTCTGACAAAATTACGATTGTCATAATAATACGTTCTAACTTTTACAGAGATCGTCGAGCACCTGACAGCCAGGAAAGACGGAGCCTTCCACAACACGCACATACTGAATTTGCACGAGATGATGATAGGTGACACGACCGATACTGGTCTGCCATTCGTGTACAGTTTACGCGAATGCACTCTTGCGAAGATGAGCTCGACATATGACTTCAAAGCGGGTCGCTTCGAGTCCGATTTCCAGTTTGCGATGGTTCAGAAAACGCAGAGGAATATAGGTTTCGTAACGCCGTTCGATCATCAGCATTTCGTTGTCGGTGTAGACAAACACGCGCAGGTTTACCTTCCCCTGAAAACCTCTGTGGAAGTCAGTGCTCCGAAGAAGAGCGTACAGCTGAAGATTTGGCCACCGAAGTGCGACAGTTCAGAAAACGCAGAGGAATATAGGTTTCGTAACGCCGTTCGATCATCAGCATTTCGTTGTCGGTGTAGACAAACACGCGCAGGTTTACCTTCCCCTGAAAACCTCTGTGGAAGTCAGTGCTCCGAAGAAGAGCGTACAGCTGAAGATTTGGCCACCGAAGTGCGACAGGCCTGACACGGTGCTGCTATGTATGCGGACACCGTACACTTCGATCCATAACGTCATGAATTTACAGCCCATGCTGGAGCAGTCTTCGTTTGACACACGACGTTTACACAACGACGAAGTAAGACGTGACAGTCAGCCTATATGGGATACGATATTCAGGATGGAGGTGGAAGCCTCCAAGAATGCTTCGGACGAGGATGTTGTGGAGAACTGCCTGTGGACCATGTTCACAATGCAGGACGAACAAAGCGAATACCACAAGGTGGCCGTAATCATGCATGACATATCTGATGAGGGAGAGCCGTGGGTTTTGAGTGCCTCTTACGGTACCTTGGATGTGGAAGCTGGCACCGAAGATGCTAGCCAATGGACACAATTTGTCAACGCGACGGAAGCATTCAGCGAGAATCGAGACAGCGAACAGCGTAAGATGCGATTCCTGGAGGAAGCAGCCAAAGGCATCCAATTAGCCCAGGCGGGGGTGCTGGACTTCTATTTCCACGACCCTTTCGCAGAAGAAGAGGCGAAGATCAACCTAACCGTTGCTTGGTCAGCGAGCAACGCCGAAACCAAGGGACGATTTCTTTCTCGTTTGACCATCAAGGACGAATCAGACGACGTCGACATTGAAGTATGTACAGCGTCCCAGTTAGCGCTTACACCATCTTATTTCCCAGTTTACGGCGAAGTTAACTCCACGCCCAAGATCGAATTTGACATAGACATTCGACTAGGGGAGGATTGTCCCGAGGAGACTCGCATGATTATCGTAGGCACAGGTACTCGAAGCAACGAGCTGAAGGAAGAAATCAACGATATCAGTGTAGTGAAGGAATGCAAGAGGCAAATGGAGCAAGGGAACAAACTCCTCCGGGCGTGTCAGAAGGCCGGAGACAAGGCTCTGCAGATGGACGAATTACAACTCTCCTTGCAGATCGATGATCCAGAAACATATATGATTTTCGAATTGTATCTTCCGCTGTTGATATCCCCGGACGTTTTGGGTATTACCGTAACCGAATTGCCGCTTGAAGACATCGACAAAGGCAAGATCAACCTGAAGGCGAAGATTTCGAAGAATATGAAGTCTGCTAACTTCAGTCTGCAGTCGTCGAACATAAACATGGAGATGAATGATGTCAACTTGGATGTTCTTAAAGATAGCTTCGAGGAAAAGGAAGATGGAGTTGACAACAACTGGTTGATGGACAACGATATGTGTAAGTATTGCGAATGTGTTATGTGAACAAATGGATTTTAAGGATTTGGAGAAATATACTTTTTCTCTAGAGTTTTGGGGTCTGTACATTGAGAGATAAATTATGCGATCTAAAGATTTGATCCGGAGATTTGGGTACAAAATTATTTAGAGATTCAAAGACTTGTGATGTTTACCGTACTTCAGCAACCTGCGTGATGGATCTCAACAGAGCCGAGACTTTCGACGGCAAAGAATTTCCCCTGGAGTTGAGCAGCTGCTGGCAGGTTCTGATGACTACATATCCCAGACTGAATCCCAGGAAGCCCAGCGAGAAGCTCGCGATGTCAGAAGACGAAAGCGTAAGCATCCTCGCCCGAGAGGTCAGCGGACAGAAGGAGGTGAAGGTCATACTCGGTCAAAACGAGATTCTGCTTCTGCCCGGCACCGAGCTACCCGAGGTACTGGTGAATGGTCAGAAGGTCCCAGTTTCTGGCACAGTTACTCACCAAGTGCGACAGGATGACGAAGTCGTCTTCGAGATATTCCAACGTGGAAGTCACTATATTTCAGTGGTATCGGAGGAGTACGATGTGACACTCACTTACGATGGAAAACGCCTTATGATCGAGGTAAATATTCCTTTATTTCGCTGACGTCATAACCGAGCATAACGTGTATCGTATATTAATGCATTCACAGGAACCCGAGATGTTCAGCTACTCTCTTCGTGGACTCTGCGGCAATTACGACGGCGATTCAGAAAATGATTTCATGACGGACTTTGCGGCAATTACGACGGCGATTCAGAAACTGATTTCATGAGTCCTGATAATTGTCCGCTGACGAAACCCGAGGAGTTCATCGCCAGTTACACGCTCACCAAGGAGCAGTGCGAAGGAGAGAACCTGCAGAAGGTCAAGTCCTTGCAGAAGGCAGCCTGTGCAACGATCTCCAGGCGTTAGATGTTTTATAGAGCCTGCAACCTCGAGAAGGAAGATGACCGGAAAATTTTATCGGTTCCCCTTGTGTGACACCAAAGATCTACTTGTTTTAGTCGTAGTTTATATAGCGCGTAACGTGTATCTATAAAATTTGTAAATATTATTTTTGCTAATTTCGTCTTTTCTTCAAGTTCACTTGCATTTACCTTCCTGTTAATCGATCACAAGGATGGATCGTGAATCGGACACTTCAAACGAAGCTGATTCAAGTGACAGTCCATTTCTTTGATCTCTTTATAAAGATCCGCACAAGGAATTCGCGATTCAATTTTTGAATCACACTTTTCTTTCATTTCCAAGTTGCACGAGTTCGTCAAATATTTTTCGTGTATCGCTGTCTCCAGTTTTAACTGATTCTGTTTGTGTCGATGTCTGTCGTTTTCCTCGTACGGTCGACCTGAAAGTTTGATTGGAAATAAAAATGGATTTTCAGGTTTCGTAGAAATGTACTTCTAGAGATTGGCGTGATTCCAACTTTGATGCGTCTTTCGATCTCTCGAATTTCGCTTTCGCAGCGTTCGTAGTAGGTCCCTCGCAGGAGTAGCGATGGCTTGGGGTCGATTTGACAGTCACGGCAGGTTTGGGTCTTTCTTTCCGGGGTCGATTTGACAGTCACGGCAGTTTTGGGTCTTTCTTTCTCCGTAGCGTCTGTATTCGAAACACTTCATCATCTCTTCGATGTATGTGAAGCATGTTTTGTCGATTCTGGTGATCACGCCTGGACGTTGGTGCGTTCTTAACAAGTGGTGCAGTTGTAATAATCCTTGAAATTAGGACAGAAATTTGATACTTAAATACAAGGACATTTAATTAGGACATTAAGACAAAAAGAAGATCTGATAAAACAGAAGGACGAGAAGACTTGATACAAAAAATGATAACAAAAAGAATGAAATATAATTTCCCTTAAAACATGTACAAATTTTGAAATAACAAAGCTATCATATACCATGGCAAGGGTGAGACTGAGTTTTAGAAATATTACTAATGATGGTTGCAGTCATGGTTATGTTTTTAAAAATAATTCAATAATCTCTGTTGTCATTGCAATTTTGGGACAATAGTAACAAGATCCTTCAATGAAGTAAAAATTGTTAAGAACATCAAAAGTGTAAACTCTACTTTGAAGAGGATGAACAGAATCCACTGCATAGATTCATACTCCATGACCCCTTCCCTATACTTGAGCACATCCTGCCTAAAACTGAAAGCTGATAGGTACAGCAATCATATTCCCCAAGAAGAACCGATACAAACTTCTCATATTTTCCGCGGTCTCTTGATTACTGAAGTAAACATTTTGCAACCGTTACATTTTCGGAATATCGAATACCGTCTACTGACCCAGTAACCCCGCCACAACGCGTGAACTCTCGCCGCCATTTGATCGTAATAATTATGCCACATCTCATGAACGCGTTCGATCAGGTACAGACCAAAGGCGATTCTGGTTTTATGACTTCTCCAATGGTGTTGAATGATGGTCGCGTTTTTGTGTAGCAGTCTGAAATGGTTTCGGGTGAGGATCCCACGCATCCAAGCCCGTAGCGACCCAACAGAGTCCAGTTGGCTGAATTCACGGTTGAATACGCGTCACAACAATTGCTGCGTGAAATTCTTCCAAATTTGCATGTGAAAATTTCGGGATCATAAATTAGGTACTGCTCAAAATTTTTAAATTTTAAGCTCGTGTGCATACATACGTAGAATTTTTCTTGTATTACAAATATTTCATATGAAGTCCTACAGGTTCACTATGAAGTCGAGTTAAAAATTTGAAGCTATAGCTACAGATGCTCATTATGTAACTGAGATTTCGACACCTAGGATGTAACCTGAAAAAAGAGAAACGAAACCGCAGATAATACGATGCTTACCATTAGTGCGACCCCGAACATTCGATATCTCTTCGAATGAAATACGTTACGATACAAATATGTTGATATTTATTCAGCATACTCTGATAACAACGACAAACTTGTATAGTGGACTATTGTTCGTGGGGTTATCGTGGTTACTCTTCTGCCAAATTCTTTGCAGACTGGAGCAAGTGTTAACCTGTACGCGATGTAATTTTCACTTCTTGTTTTATGAAAACGTGACCTGTGACGTGTTGTGATCTTTGAATTCTGTTCTGAATTTATGGAAATAGAAATACGAGGAACAGTCAGCATTTTTATCTTCAGGCATGTGAGATTGTGGTCTCATGTCTCTCAAGTGAAAGCTGTGAACAGACTTTGCTATTTTCTTTCCAGAGATAGGCTTTGAAACGTTAACACTTTAGTGAAATGAATGAAAGCGTTCAGAGTTTTTTTAGAACGGTAAAAATGAAAGTAGGGGAATACACTTGATCATCGGCTATCAAAGAAACTGCTTCGTACGAGGAAAACCAAGAATTATATGTTTTCAACGATTACATGACTTCTTACAATTTTTCTCCGTTAATTATTTATTCCGCTGAATTGATACAACGCGAGAGCATATATATGCTCTAAGTCGACAGGACGTATCACTTTCCGATGAGCTACGGTCAATAATGTGGCTGCCTTTGACACTCTTGGTGCTTGGTAAGTGTGAACGAACGGTTTAATTAGAACACCATTTTTCTCGTATATACACAATGAAAATGACTGTTCGAACAATACAAGCTGTATTCTTTTCCGTCTAAATATTTCAAGGGCATTTTGGGTGTGTACATTCAAGTCTAGTGAAATAATTTTGTCTTTCAAAAACTTATTGGTGATGTGTCGTGCAAACGTGCTACAGTCTTCAATTTTTTTTTGTTAATTTCATGGAATTTTTTTAGTGTGAAATAAATGTAATTCGATGTCATTTATATTAAAATTCAACAAAACTTTAATTTGAAAATTTTATGTGATTTCAGCCGATGTACTGTTCGAATCTGGTGCATTTCAAATTCAATACAAGCGAAATTAGATGTTCGTCAAATTATTTGTAATTCTTGTTTTATAATGTTTTTAAATTTGACATGCGGCTTGACATTATTCAAATTCGACGCGATTTTAATTCGAGGCAATTCAAATTCGACGTGTCACCAATTCGACATAATTCAAATTCGACGTGTTACCAATTAAACATAGTCCAAATTCGAAGTGATAAAAATCCGACGTAATCCCTCGCTACATACTTTCACATAATACAATTCAATTCGACTTTATATTCACCAAGTTCACAATCAACCCCCGAACGTAACAGCGTTCTAACTCCCTGCTTAATCCTACGATACTACGATTTACTCACATACTTTCGATACTATGATTTGCTTACTCTAATTCCTTACACACCAAATTTACCGAAGATTCGTATATCCACAGCGGGAGTGGTATCCGCCGAAAGCAACTATGGCTGGAAGGTCGGCAACGAGTACAGCTATATGGTACAAAGTCGCACGTTCACGAATTTGGCCGAGTTCCCCAAAGACTATGCGGGTATCTTGATGAAAGCACACCTCACGGTGCAAGTTAAGGAGGATGGCAAGCTAACCGCGAAATTAACAAAGGATCAATACTCTCACGTTCATAGCAATCTGTCCAGGGGCTGGGACGAGTACATCCTTGACCTACTGTTGATGCCCAATGACATACCCATATCTGAAAAGCCCTTCGATATTAAATTAAAGGACGGGTTGATCGACTCTGTAATCGTGGAGGAAGATGTTCCCAACTGGGAGGTGGTACTACTCAAGAGTATCATCAGCCAGTTCCAGGTGGACATCAAGGGTAAGAAACTCGTGGAGGGACACGATGTCAAGGTTCCGGATGAGAATGACCCTCGGGGAGGATTCACGGTATTGGAAGACTACTTCGCTGGTTTGAACGAAGTTCGTTACGACTTCAAACCGCTGTCGGAACAGCAGTTTCGAACTAGGCCGGAATTGGTGCCGAAACCTGAACTGAAGGGCTCAGGACAACACATTGACATCGTCAAGACGAAGAGCTATGACAGATACCCGGAAATGTCGGAGAAGGTGTTCGGCATGACGCGGCAGATGAAGAAGGAACCTAAAACTAACAAGAACCTCATGTCGGTGAGTAGCTATGCCCGAAGTATAGTGTCCTAAATTGAATACATGTATGACATATCACGAAGTAAGAATAAATTACGTAATCTTTCCACAGACTAAGCAGTTTATGTTTATTCTGTACATGCATAAACATCAGTGATACACGCATAAACTGCAATGATAATCGAATATTGAAAATTCTGTTGCAGAAATCATCCACCAGTAGAATCGTTATCTCAGGTAACCTGAATGATTTCGTTATCCAATCGGCGGTGTCTACCAGTAAGACGACCATCACGCCCTCGTTCAATGACGCGCAGAACAGCACAGTGCTCAGCAAACTGAGCCTAACTCTGGAGGACATGCACGAGATCAAGACTCCAATGCCATCGCCAACGAAACCCAAATCCACCGGCTACCGCATCTCTTTCGAAACCACCCCGTCCTCTCTGGAAGATGCTCCCAAGCATCCTGTCTGGCCCAACATCATCGATTACGGAGGCAAATTTATTGGCCACTCTCGTGAGTTTAACGGTTTAGCTGCAGTCGGCAATTTACTCGGGCACATTTCAAACGAACTGCTGAAGCCGAATACGATTCCTGAGAAAAAGACCCTAGACAAGTTCACCCAACTCGTCAACATAATCCGCAACATGAACAGGAATCAAATAGCGGAAGCTGAGAACAGCTTGGAGATCTCGCCAAAGAAACTCAAGTGGGGCGACAAGGCTGACGCCATTCGGCAAAACCGTTGGTCCGTTTTTAGGGATGCTGTCACTCAAGCTGGGACGGGACCTGCTTTGTTGACCATCAAAAATTGGGTCGAGAATGGAGAATTGAGGAGTGAAGAGGCTGCTGAAATGCTGTCCAAAATCCCGGCGTCTGCTCGGCAAATTACAGCCAAATACACCGAGGCGTTCTTCGTAAGTGTTATCAATGTTTACGAGACCTGAAAAATATAAAGAAATCTATGAGATTCTTATTACATAAGTTGTGAATGCATAAACAGCATATAATTCACTCGCAGTCTAGATACCGTGTTATCTTCAATTTTCTTAAAGGACAGTTTGAATTTTCTAAATGATAAATTATACATATATTCTATAAAAAAAGAGGAAAGGATATTAGACCGTTTTCACATTTCATTTAGTCTACATATTTGTCTACAATCATATAAACGAACATGTTGGGTGAGAAACCTCAGATAATTTGACTCTTATTTGTCTCCTAGTAAAATAAGACCCGGTATAGTACTAAAAAAGCTTAAATATTTATTCTTCAGGAACTGGCCACTCATCCACAAGTCACGCAAACAGCACTCCTAAACGTCACAGCGATAACGGCGTTCTCTGAACTGTTGTTCCTGTCTCAAGGAAATGATAAGAGCATCTACAAATTCTATCCCGTGCACACAACCGATCGTCCCTCCGAGGAGCAATACTTGGATATCGTCAATAAGTACATCCCATATTTGGGGGTGCAATTAAAGAAGGCCGTGGATGATGACGACAGCGCAAGGATCCAAACCTACATCGTTGCTCTGGGTACCATCGGAATGTACGAGGTGCTCCCCGTCTTCGAGCCTTTCCTGACAGGCAGGGAGAAAATGACAGCCTTCCAGAAGACGTTAATTCTCGCCAGTTTGAGTAACTTTGTCGCGAATCATCCGAAGAAGGCACTGCCGGGCTTGAAACAGATCTACATGAACACGACGGAGAGTCAGGAGGTGCGTTGCATGGCCGTCTTTCTGATTCCAATGACGAATCCTCCTCTGGAGGTGCTGCGTGAAATCGTGCAGTTCAGCAACAACGACAGCAGCAAACAGGTCAAGTCCGCGGTGAAGTCCACCCTTCAGGGCCTGGAAGATTTATCTGACCCAGAATGGCAATCGTTGGCGAAGAACGCTCGGGCTGCGTTGAAGTTATTGAACAGCAAGGATTACGACCCGCTGAAATCCCACGAATTCATCTTTAACAAGATGAAAGAAGAGAACCTTTTCACTAACACTCTTCTTAATTACATCGGCAGCGACAATAGCCCGATCCCTCGTACCATCTACCTTGCGTCGATCCTTTATGATGGCAACTTCAAAGGATCCCCTGTAGAACTTATGACTATGATTCCCAACATGGACTCTCTTATTGACGCTCTGATACCCTCCGATAAACGGCCCCTCGTGAAAACGGCCACCGAGAAGATCGCCGACGAACTGAATATCGTGGGCGATATACCTGTATTGCTGGAAGGAAATTTCTTGTGGAGGACGAAGTTCCTGTCGCGTTTCATTCCTTATGACGAGAACACTGTTCGCAACCTTCCTAACAGTAAGTTGTCTGTAACCACAGATCATACATTACCTGTTCTTGCTAAAACTGCTCGAATTTCACACCTAGTTTCCAATTTCTGACAAAATTACGATTGTCATAATAATACGTTTTAAATTTTACAGAGATCGTCGAGCACCTGACATCCAGGAAAGACGGAGCCTTCTACAACACACACATACTGAATTTGCACGAGATGATGATAGGTGACACGACCGATACTGGCTTGCCTTTCGTGTACAGCTTATGCGAATGCACTCTGCACAAGCTGAGTTCGACAGATAATTACAAACTGGGTCGCTTCGAGTCCGACTTCCAGTTCGCGATGATTCAGAAAACGCAGAGGAATATAGGTTTCGTAACGCCGTTCGATCATCGCCATTTCGTTGCCGGTGTAGACAAGCACACGCAGGTTTACCTTCCCCTGAAGACCTCTGTGGAGGTCAGTGCTCCGAAGAAGAGCCTACAGCTGAAGATTTGGCCACCAAAGAGCGACAAGCCTAACACGGTGCTGCTACGTAGGCGGACCCCGTACACCTCGATCCATAATGTCATGGATTTACAGCCTTTGCTGAAGCAGTCGGCGTTTGACACACGGCGTTTGCACAACGACGAAATAAGACATGACAGTCAGCCTATATCAAATACGATATTCAGGATGAAGGCGGACGCCGACGCGTCGAACGAGGATGTTTGGGGTATATCGTGGAGCAGGTTCCCAATGCAGGACAGACAAAGCGAATACCACAACGTGGCCGTAATCATGGATGAGAGATCTGATGAGGGAGAGCCGTTGGTTTTGAGTGCCTCTTACGGTACCTTGGATGTGGAAGCTGGCACTGAAGATGCTAGCCAATGGACACAATTGGTCAACGCGACGGAAGCATTCGCCGAGAATCAAGACAGCGAACAGCGTAAGATGCGATTCCTGGAGGAAGCAGCCAAAGGCATCCAATTAGCCCAGGCGGGGGTGCTGGACTTCTATTTCCACGACCCTTTCGCAGAAGAAGAGGCGAAGATCAACCTAACCACTGCTTGGTCAGCGAGCAACGCCGAAACCAAGGGACGATTTCTTTCCCACTTGACCATCAAGAACCAATTAGACGACATTGAGCTCGAAGTATGCGCAGCGTCCCAGTTAGCAGTCACACCACCTTACTTCCCAGTTTACGACGAAGTTAACAATTCCACGCCCAAGGTCGAATTTGACGTAGACATTCGACACGGGGAGAATTGTCCCGAGGATAAACGCGTGAACATCATAGGCACAGGTACTCGAAGCAACGAGCTGAAGGAAGAGATCAACGATATCAGTGTAGTGAAGGAATGCAAGAAGCAGATGGAACAAGGGAACAAACTCCTCCGGGCGTGCCAGAAGGCCGGAGACAAGGCTCTGCAGGTGGACGAATTACAACTCTCCTTGCAAACCGGTTGCCGAAGAACACATAGGAATATCGAAAACCTCTTTTCGGATTTGATATCTTTCCGCATTGTGGATGGTACCGTAATCGATTCGCAGCCTGAAGATATGGACGAAGGCAAGCTCACCCTGAAAGCGAAGATTTCGAAGAATATGAAGTCTGCTAACTTCAGTGTGCAGTCGATGAACATGAACATGAAGATGAATGATGTCAATTTGGATTATTTTGAAGATAGCTCCGAGGAAGAGGAGGATGAAGTCGACAACAGCTGGTTGATGGACGACGATGTGTGTAAGTATTGCGCATGTATTATGTGAAGAAATGGATTTTAAAAATTTAGAGAAATATACTTTTTATCTAAAGTTTTGGGGTCTGTACATTTGGAGATAAATTTTGGGATCTAAAGATTTGATTTGGGTACAAAATTATTTAAAGATTTAAGGACATGTGATGTTTATCATAATGTCTTTTCAGCAACCTGCGTGATGGATCTCAACAGAGCCGAGACTTTCGACGGCAAAGAATTTCCCCTGAAGTTGAGCAGCTGCTGGCAGGTTCTGATGACTACATATCCCAGACTGAATCCCAGGAAGCCCAGCGAGAAGCTCGCGATGTCGGAAGACGAAAGCGTGAGCATCCTCGCGCGAGAGATCAACGGACAACGCGATGTCGGAAGACGAAAGCGTGAGCATCCTCGCCCGAGAGATCAACGGACAGAAGGAGGTGAAGGTCATACTCGGCCAAAACGAGATTCTGCTTCTGCCCGGCAGCGAGCTACCCGAGGTACTGGTGAATGGTCAGAAGGTCCCAGTTGCTGGCACAGTTACTCACCAAGTGCGACAGGATGACGAAGTCGTCTTCGAGATATTCCAACGTGGAAGTCACTACATTTCAGTAGTATCGGAGGAGTACGATGTGACACTAACTTACGATGGAAAACGCCTTTTGATCGAGGTAAATATTCCTTTACTTCGCCGACGTCATAACCAAGCATAACATTTACCGTATATTTACATTCACAGGAACCTGAGATGTTCAGCTACTCCCTTCGAGGACTTTGCGGCAATTACGACGGCGATTCAGAAAATGATTTCATGAGTCCTGGTAATTGTCTGCTGACGAAACCCGAGGAGTTCATCGCCAGTTACACGCTCACCAAAGAGCAGTGCGAAGGAGAGAACTTGCAGAAGGTCAAGTCCTTGCAGAAGCCAGCGTGTGCAACGATCTCCAGGCGTTAGACGTTTTATCGCCCTGCAAACTCGAGAAGGAAGATGACCAGAAAATTTTATCGGTTCCTCTTGTGTGACACCAAAGATCTACTTGTTTTAGTCGTAGTTTATTTAGCGCGTAACGTGTATCTATAAAATTTGTAAATATTATTTTTGATAAATTCGTCTTTTCTTCAATCTCATTTGTACTTACCTTCCTGTTAATCGATCAAGAGGATGGATCGTGAATCGAACACTTCAAACGAAGCTGATTCAAGTGACAGTCCATTTCTTTGATCTCTTTATAAAGATCCACAGAAGGAATTCGCGATTCAATTTTTGAATCACACTTTTCTTTCATTTCCAAGTTGCACGAGTTAGTCAAATATTTTTCGTGTATCGCTGCCTCTAGTTTTAACTGATTCTGTTTGTGTCGATGCTTGTCGTTTTCCCCGTACGGTCGACCTGAAAGTTTATTTGGAAATAAAAACGGATTTTCAGGTTTTTTAGAAATGTACTTCTAGAGATTGGCGTGATTCCAACTTTGATGCGTCTTTCGATCTCTCGAATTTCCTTTTCGCAGCGCTCGTAGTAGGTCCCTCGCAGGAGTAGCGATGGCTTGGGGTCGATTTGACAGTCATGGCAGGTTTGGGTCTTTCTTTCCCCGTAGCGTTTGTATTCGAAACAGTTCATCTTATCTTCAATGTGAAGCATGTTTTGTCGATTCTGGTGGTCACACCTGGACGTTGGTGCGTTCTTAATAAATGGTGTAGCTGTAATAATCTTTGAAATTAGGGCAGAATACAAAAATTGGATACTTAAATACAAGGACATTTAATTAGAACATTAGGTCAAAAAGAAGATCTGATAAAATAGAAGGACCAGAAGACTTGATACAAAAAATGTTAACAAAAAGAATGTAATATAAGTTTACTTAATACATGCATAAATTTTGAAATAACAATGCTATCATGTATCACGACAAGGGTAAGACTGAGTTTTAGAAATATTACTAATGATATTTCTTATGAAGTCCCACAGGTTCACTATAAAGTCGAGTTAAAAATTTGAAACTATACGTACAGATAGTCATTATGTAACTGAGATCTTGACACCTAGTAACCTGAAAAAAGAAAAACAAAACCGCAGATAATACGATGCATACCGATAGTGCGACCTCGAACATTCCATATCTCTTCGTATGAAATACGTTACGATACAAACATGTTGTTATTTATTCAGCATGCTCTGATAACAACAACAAACTTGTATAGTGGACTATTGTTCGTGGGGTTATCGCGGTTACTCTTCTGCCAAATTCTTTGCAGACTGGAGCAAGTGTTAACCTGTGCGCGATGTAATTTTCACTTCTTGTTTTATTAAAACGTGACCTATGACGTGTTGTGATCTTTGAATTCTGTTCTGAATTTATGGATATAGAAATACGAGGAACAGTCGGCATATTTATCTTCAGACATGTGAGATTGTGGTCTCATGTGTGACCTCATGTCTCTCGAGTAAAAGCTGTGAACAGACTTTGCTATTTTCTTTCCAGAGATAGGCTTTAAAACGCTAACAGTTTAGTGAAATGAATGAAAGTGTTCAGAGTTTTTTTAGAACGGTAAAAACGAAAGTAGGGGAATAGACTTGATAATCGGCTATCAAAGAAACTGCTGCGTACGAGGAAGACCAAGAAGTATATGTTTTCAACGATTATATGACTTCTGAGAATTTTTCTCCGCTAATTATTCATTCCGTTGAATTGATATAACGCGAGGGCATATATATGCTCTAAGTGGATCGGACGTATCACTTTCCGACGAGCTACGGTCAATAATGTGGCTGTCTTTGACACTCTTGGTGCTTGGTAAGTGTGAACGAACGGTTTAATTAGAAAGCCATTTTTCTCGTATGTACACAATGAAAATGACTGTTCCAACACTGCGGGATGTATTATTAGACTTATTATCGTTTTCCGTCTAACATATTTTAGGGACATTTTGGGTGTGTACATTCAAGGCTAGTAAAATAATTTTGTCTTTCAACAACTTATTAGTGATGTGTCGTGGAAACGTGCTACAGTTTCCAATTTTTCTTTTTTAATTTCATGGAATTTTTTTAGTGTGAAATAAATGTAATTCGATGTCATTTATATTAAAATTCAACAAAACTTTAATTTGAAAATTTTATGTGATTTCAGCCGATGTACTGTTCAAATTTGGTGCATTTCAAATTCAATATAAGCGCAATTAGATGTTCCTCAAATTCTTTGTAATTTTTGTTTTATGATGTTTTTAAATTTGCCACGATGCGGCTTGACGTTATTCAAATTCGACGCGATTTTAATTCGAGGCAATTCAAATTCGACGTGGTACGATTTTGACATAATCCAAATTTGATGTGGTATCAATTCTACATAGTTCAAATTTCATGTGGTAGGAATTCGACATGGTCCAAATTCGAAGTGATAAAGATCCGATGTAATCCCTCGCTTCATACTGTCACATAATACAATTCAATTCGACTTGATATTCACCTAGTTCACTATCAGCCCCCGAAAGTAACAGCATTCTGACTCCCTGTTTAATCCTTCGTTACTACGATTTACTCACATAACACGTCACTCAATAAGTCCCCGGTCTGACACATATATGGCGACACTGGTGACACACCCACGTTATTTTCGAATAATACTAACCTTCAAACAGTACATGTCAAAATTTCAGGGTATTCTGACCAATAGTTTAGAAGTTATAGTCATTTTAGTACCCCCAGTTTCGTAATTTTGAAGACAATGGATAGAAAGGAATTTCGTGTGTTGATTAAACACTGTTTTTTAATCGAAAAAAATACTGTTGAAGGCAAAAAGTGACTTGATAAACATTATAGGGACTCTGCACCAGGGAAATCAACTATCATTGACTGGTATGCTGAATTTAAACGCGGTCATACAAGCACCGATGATGCTGAACGCACTGGTTGCCCAAAATCAGCAGTCGTTCCGGAAAACATAAAAAATGTCCACAAAATAGTTTTAAAGGGCCGTAAACTTAAGTTGTGTGAGATAGCTGATGCCTTGAAGATATCAGAAGGTAGTGTCTTCAGAATTTTGCATGAAAATTTGGGCATGTGCAAATTGCCTTCAAAGTGGATGCCGCGTTTGCTGTTTCACGAAGGCAATGCGCCGTGTCACAAGTCGATGAACACGATGGTTCAATTGAATGAATTACGTTTTGAATTGTTTCCCCACACACCGTACTCCGCAGATTTGGACCCCAGCGACTACTAGCTCTTTGCAGATATGAAAAAAATGCTCCAGGGAAAGAAATTTGGCTCAAATGAAAAAGTGATTGCGGAAACTGAAGCGTATTTTGGGGGCAAAGACAAATTGTTTAATATAAAGGGAATTGAAAAGTTAGAGGAGCGTTGGAATCAATGTATCTGGAAGGAAAGTATATTGATGATTAAAGTGGAATTTCTAAAAAAAAATTTGTTTTTCCTAGTTAGACCGGAGACTTATTGAGTGATGTGTTACATTCTATACTATGATTTACTTACTCTAATTCCTTACACACCAAATTTACCGAAGATTCGTACATCCACAGCGGGAGTGGTATCCGCCAAAAGCAACTATGGCTGGAAGGTCGGCAACGAGTACAGCTATGTGGTACAAAGTCGCACGTTCACGAATTTGGCAGAGTTCCCCAAAGACTATGCGGGTATCTTGATGAAAGGATACCTCACCGTGCAAGCTAAGGAGGATGGCAAGCTAACCGCGAAATTAACGAGGGGTCAATATTTTCACATTCATAGCAATATGTCCAGGGGCTGGGACGAGTCCATCCTTGACGTACTGTTGGCGCCCCATGACATACCCATAACTAAAAAGTCCTTCGATATTAAATTAAAGGACGGGTTGATCGACTCCGTAATCGTGGAGGAAGATAGTAATCGTGGAGGAAGATGTTCCCAACTGGGAGGTGGTACTACTCAAGAGTATCATCAGCCAGTTCCAGGTGGACATCAAGGGTAAGAAACTCGTGGAGGGACACGATGTCAAGGTTCCGGATGAGAATGACCCTCGGGGAGGGTTCACGGTATTGGAAGATTACTTCGCTGGTTTGAACGAAGTTCGCTACGACTTTAAACCGCTGTCGGAACAGCAGCTTCGCACTAAGCCGGAATTAGTGCCAATACCTGAACTGAAGGGCTCAGGGCAACACATTGATATCGTCAAGACGAAGAGCTATGACAGGTACCCGGAAATGTCGGAGAACGTGTTCGGCATGACGCGGCAGATGAAAAAGGAACCTAAAACTAACAAGAACCTCATGTCGGTGAGTAGCTATGTCCTAAGTGTAGTGTCCCAAATTGAATACATGTATGACATATCACAAAGTAAGAATAAATTACGTAATCTTTCCACAGACTAAGCAGTTTATGTTTATTCTGTACATGCATAAACATCAGTGATACATGCATAAACCGCAATGATAATCGAATCTCGAAAATTCTGTTGCAGAAATCATCCACCAGTAGAATCGTTATCTCAGGTAGCCTGAAGGATTTCGTTATCCAATCGGCAGTGTCTACCAGTAAGACCACCATCACACCCTCGTTCAATGACGCGCAGAACAGCACAGTGCTCAGCAAACTGAGCCTAACTCTGGAGGACATGCACGAGATCAAGACTCCAATGCCATCGCCAACGAAACCCAAATCCACCGGCTACCGTATATCTTTCGAAACCACCCCGTCCTCTCTGGAAGATCCACCCAAGCATCCAGTCTGGCCTAACATCATCGATTACGGTGGCAAATTCATTAGCCACTTCCGTGAGTTTAACGGTTTAACTGCAGTCCGTGATTTACTCTTCTACATTTCAAACGAACTGGTGGACCCGAATACGATTCCTGAGCAAAAGACCCTAGACAAGTTCACCCATCTCGTTAACATAATCCGCACCATGAACAGGAATCAAATAGCGGAAGCTGAGAACAAATGGCAGATCTCGCCCAAGAAACTCAAGTGGGGCGACAAGGCTGACGCCTTTAGGCAAAACCGTTGGTCCGTTTTTAGAGATGCTATCACTCAAGCTGGGACTGGACCTGCTTTGTTGACCATCAAAAATTGGGTCGAGAATGGGGACTTGCGGAGTGAGGAAGCTGCTGAAATGCTGTCCAAAATCCCGGCGTCTGCTCGGCAAATTACAGCCAAATACATCGAGGCGTTCTTCGTAAGTGATATCAATGTTTACGAGACCTGAAAAATATAAAGAACTCTATGAGATCCTTATTACATAAGTTGTGAATGCATAGACAGCATATAATTCACTTGCAGTCTAGATACCGTGTTATCTTCATTTTTTTAAAGGAGAGTTTGAATTTTCTAAATGATAAATTATACATGTATAACAAAAGAAGAAAAGATATTAGACTAATAAGAAAATACTTTCAGTATAATAAGATATTATAATAAAAATGCTTAAAATTCATCAGGAACTGGCCACTCATCCACAAGTCACGCAAACAGCACTCCTAAACGTCACAGCGATAACGGCGTTCTCCGAACTGTTGTTCCTGTCTCAAGGAAACGATAAGAGCATCTACAAATTCTATCCCGTGCACACAACCGATCGTCCCTCCGAGGAGCAATACTTGGATATCGTCAATAAGTACATCCCATATTTGGGGGTGCAATTAAAGAAGGCCGTGGATGATGACGACAGCGCAAGGATCCAAACCTACATCGTTGCTCTGGGTACCATCGGAATGTACGAGGTGCTACATCCCATACTTGGGGGTACAATTAAAGAAGGCCGTGGATGATGGCGACAGCGCAAGGATCCAGACCTACATCGTTGCTCTGGGTACCATCGGAATGTACGAGGTGCTCCCCGTCTTCGAGCCTTTCCTGACAGGCAGGGAGAAAATGACAGCCTTCCAGAAGACGTTAATTCTCGCCAGTTTGAGTAACTTTGTCGCGAATCATCCGAAGAAGGCACTGCCGGGCTTGAAACAGATCTACATGAACACGACGGAGAGTCAGGAGGTGCGTTGCATGGCCCTCTTCCTGATTCCAATGACGAATCCTCCTCTGGAGGTGCTGCGTGAAATCGTACAGTTCAGCAACAACGACAGCAGCAAACAGGTCAAGTCCGCGGTGAAGTCCACCCTTCAGGGCCTGAAACATTTATCTGACCCAGAATGGCAATCGCTGGCGAAGAATGCCCAGGCTGCGTTGAAGTTATTGGACAGCAAGGATTACGACCCGCTGAAATCCCACGAATTCATCTTTAACAAGATGAAAGAAGAGAACCTTTTCACTAACACTCTTCTTAATTACATCGGCAGCGACAATAGCCCGATCCCTCGTACCATCTACCTTGCGACGATCCTTTATGATGGCAACTTCAAAGGATCCCCTGTGGAACTTATGACTATGATTCCCAACATGGACTCTCTTATCGACGCTCTGATACCCTCCGACAAACGGTCCCTCGTGAAAATGGCCACCGAGAAGATTGCCGAGGAACTGAATATCGTGGGCGATATACCTGTCTTGCTGGAAGGAAATTTCTTGTGGAGGACGAAGTTCTTGTCGCGTTTCATTCCTTATGACGAGAACACTGTTCGCAACCTTCCTAACAGTGAGTTGTTTGTAACCACAGATCTAATATTACATGTTCTTGATGAGACAACTCGCATTTCACAGTTAGTTTCCAATTTTTGACAAAATTACGATTGTTAGAATAATATTTTTTAATTTTACAGAGGTCGTCGAGCACCTGACAGCCAGGAAAGACGGAGCTTTCCACAATACGCACATACTGAATTTGCACGAGATGATGATAGATGACACGACCGATACTGGTTTGCCTTTCGTGTACAGCTTATGCGAATGCACTCTGCACAAGCTGAGTTCGACAGATAATTACAAACCGGGTCGCTTCGAGTCCGACTTCCAGTTCGCGATAGTTCAGAAAACGCAGAGGAATATAGGTTTCGTAACGCCATTCGATCATCGTCATTTCGTTGCCGGTGTAGACAAGCACACGCAGGTTTATCTTCCCCTGAAGACCTCTGTGGAGGTCAGTGCTCCGAAGAAGAGCGTACAGCTGAAGATTTGGCCACCAAAGAGCGACAAGCCTGACACGGTGCTGCTATGTATGCGGACACCGTACACTTCGATCCATAACGTCATGGATTTACAACAATTGCTGGAGGAGTCAGCGTTTGACACACGGCGTTTACACAACGACGAAGTAAAACATGAGAGACAGCCTACGACGAATATGATATTCAGGATGGAGGCGGAAGCCGACGCGACCAACGAGGATGTATGGGATTACGATTCGTGGATCATGTTCCCAATAAAGGACAAACAAAGCGAATACCACAAGGTGGCCGTAATCATGGATAAGAGATCTGATGAGGGAAAGCCGTTGGTTTTGAGTGCTTCTTACGGTACTTTGGATGTGGAAGCTGGCACCGAAGATGCTAACCAATGGACACAATTTGTCAATGCGACGGAAGCATTCAGCGAGATTCGAGACAGCGAACAGCGTAAGATCCGATTCCTGGAGGAAGCAGCCAAAGGCATCGTGTTAGCCCAGGCGGGAGTGCTGGACTTCCATATCCACATCCCTTTCATAAATGAAGAGGTGAAGACCAACCTAACCGTTGCTTGGTCTGCGAGCAACGCTGAAACTAAGGGACGATTTCTTTCCCGCTTGACCATCATGAACCAAATAGACGAAGTCGAGTTCGAAGTATGCGCAGCGTCCCAGTTAGCGCTCACACCACCTTACTTCCCAGTTTATGATGAAGTTAACAACTGCACGCCCAAAATCGAATTTGACATAGACATTCGACATGGGGAGAATTGTCAAGAGGATAATCGCGTGAACATCATAGGCACCGGTACTCGAAGCAACGAGCTGAAGGAAGATATCAACGATATCAGTGTAGTGAAGGAATGCAAGAAGCAGATGGAGCAAGGGAACAAACTCCTCCGGGCGTGCCAGAAGGCCGGAGACAAGGCTCTGCAGGTGGACGAATTACAACTCTCCTTGCAGAGCGGTTGCCGAAGAACACAGAGGGATATGGAATACTTCTTTTCTCATTTGTTATCTTCGGGCATTATCGTTGGTACCTTAGCCGAATTGCAGCCTAAAGTCATGGACGAAGGCAAGATCAACCTGAAGGCGAAGATTTCGAAGAATATGAAGTCTGCGAACTTCAGTGTGCAGTTGCCGAACATAAACGTGGAGATGAATGATGTCAACTTGGATTATTTTGAAGATAGCTCCGAGGAAAAGGAGGATGAAGCCGACAACAGCTGGCTGATGGACGACGATGTGTGTAAGTATTATTGCGTATGTATTATGTGAACCAGATGGATTTTGAGAATTTAGAGAAATATACTTTTTATCTAAAGTTTCGGGGTTTGTACATTTGGAGATAAATTTTGGGATCTAAAGATATGATTTGGGCACAACATTGTTTAGAGATTTAAGGACTTCTGATGTTTACCGCAACGTCTTTTCAGCAACCTGCGTGATGGATCTCAACAGAGCCGAGACTTTCGACGGCAAAGAATTTCCCCTGAAGTTGAGCAGCTGCTGGCAGGTTCTGATGACTACATATCCCAGACTGAATCCCAGGAAGCCCAGCGAGAAGCTCGCGATGTCGGAAGACGAAAGCGTGAGCATCCTCGCGCGAGAGATCAACGGACAAAAGGAGGTGAAGGTCATACTCGGCCAAAACGAGATTCTGCTTCTGCCCGGCAGCGAGCTACCCGAGGTACTGGTGAATGGTCAGAAGGTCCCAGTTGCTGGCACAGTTACTCACCAAGTGCGACAGGATGACGAAGTCGTCTTCGAGATATTCCAACGTGGAAGTCACTACATTTCAGTAGTATCGGAGGAGTACGATGTGACACTCACTTACGATGGAAAACGCCTTATGATCGAGGTAAATATTCCTTTATTTCGCCGACGTTATAACTGAGCATAACATTTACCGTATATTAATGCATTCACAGGAACCTGAGATGTTCAGCTACTCCCTTCGAGGACTTTGCGGCAATTACGACGGCGATTCAGAAAATGATTTCACGAGTCCTGGTAATTGTCTGCTGACGAAACCCGAGGAGTTCATCGCCAGTTACACGCTCACCAAGGAGCAGTGCGAAGGAGAGAGCCTGCAGAAGGTCAAGTCCTTGCAGAAGCCAGCGTGTGCAACGATCTCCAGGCGTTAGACGTTTTATCGACCCTGCAAACTCGAGAAGGAAGATGACCAGAAAATTTTATCGGTTCCCCTTATGTGACACCAAAGATGTACTTGTTTTAATTCTAGTTTATATAGCGCGTAACGTGTATCTATAAAATTTGTAAATATTATTTTTGATTATTTCGTCTTTTCTTCAAGTTCACTTGCACTTACTTTCCTGTTAATCGATCACAAGGATGGATCGTGAATCGGGCACTGCAAACGAAGCTGATTCAAGTGACAGTCCATTTCCTTGATCTCTTTATAAAGATCCGCACAAGGAATTCGCGATTCAATTTTTGAATCACACTTTTCTTTCATTTCCATGTTGCACGAGTTCGTCAAATATTTTTCGTGTATCGCTGCCTCCAGTTTTAACTGATTCTGTTTGTGTCGATGCTTGTCGTTCTCCTCGTATGGTCGACCTGAAAGTTTAATTGGAAATAAAAACGGATTTATAGGTTGCGTAGAAATGTACTTCTAGAGATTGGCGTTATTCCAACTTTGATGCGTCTTTCGATCTCTCGAATTTCCCTTTCGCATCGTTCGTAGTAGGTCCCACGCAGGAGTAGTGATGGTTTGGGGTCGATTTGACAGTCACGGCAGTTTTGGGTCTTTCTTTCTCCGTAGCGTCTGTATTCGAAACACTTCATCATCTCTTCGATGTATGTGAAGCATGTTTTGTCGATTCTGGTGATCACGCCTGGACGTTGGTGTGTTCTTAACAAATGGTGCAGCTGTAATAATCTTTGAAATTAGGGCAGAATACAAAAATTTGGTACTTTAATACAAGGACATTTAATTAAGACATTAGGACAAAAAGAAGATCTGACAAAATGGAAGGGCCAGAAGACTTGATACAAAAAATGATAACAGAAAGAATGAAATATAGGTTCCCTTAAAACATGTACACATTTTGAAATAACAAAACTATTATATATCATGACAAGGGTAAGTGAGTTTTAGAAATATTACTAATGATGGTTGCAATCATGGTTATGTTTTTAAAAATAATTCAACAGTCTCTATTATCATTGCAATTTTGGGACAATAGTAACAAGATCCTTCAATGCAGTAAAAATTGTTAAGAACATCAAATGTATAAACTCTACTTTGAAGAGGATGAACAGAATCCACTGCATAGATTCATACTCCATGACTCCTTCCCTATACTTGAGCACATCCTGCCTGAACCTGAAAGAAGATAGGTACAACAATCGTATTCCCCAAGAAGAACCGATACAAACTTTCTCATATTTTCCACGGTCTCCTGATTCTTCGAGTAAACGTTTTGCAACCAGCGTCGCATTTTCGGTATATCGAGTACCGTCTTTCTGACCCAGTAACCGCGCCACATCGCCTGAATCCTCGTCGCCATCTGATCGTAATAATTCTGCCATATCTGATGCACGCGTTCGATCAGGTACAGATCAACCGCGATCCTGGTTCTATGGCCTCTCCAATGGCGTTGGATGATGGTCGCGCTTTTGTGTAGCAGTCTGAAATGGTTGCGGGTGAGGATCCCACGCATCCAAGCCTGAAGCGACGCAACAAAGTCCAGTTGGCTGAATTCACGGTTGAATACGCGTCGCAAAAATTGCTGCGTGAATTTCTCCCAAATTTGCATGTACCAAAATTTCGGGATCAAAAAGTAGGTACTGTTCAAAATTTGAGTCTATTTCAAGCTCATGTGCGTACATACATGTAAGTAGGATTTTTCTTGTATTACAAATATTTCTTAGGAGGTACAGGTTTAGACTATGATTTTAAATAATTCTTTACGAAACTATTTTAAGAGCTGATGCATTAGAATGTTTAGTTAGTGAAATGCATCTACCTATTTTCAAGGGGCGGAGAGGATATCAATCTAAATGAATTAGAAAAAGACAAGAAAAACCGCAGATAACACGATGGATGAGATAGCGTGTGATCTTGACCTCGAACATTCATTATCACGAGTGACTCCCATTACGACATCAAACACGTTATTATTAGTCAGGATCACCGGATAAGGACGATAACTTGTGCAGCGGATTATCGTGCGAGGTTATCTTTGGCGTATACATTCACCCCGTTTTTGTCGAATCGTTTGCAGGTTATCGACGAAACAGCCGTTAACCTGTATTTTGCGAGCTGCGATGTAGTTTTCACGCCTCGTCGATTCTGCTAGATCGTCTCTGCGTTTCACCTCCTCCTCGAATTCGTCGGGGTCCGGATTGAACTGTTCCACTGACGCCATTAAAACTTCTGAATCTAAAAATTTTAGGAAAATTCAGAGCCTTGAATTATCTTTGGGTAATGCATTGTTTCTCGATGTACAAAGTACCTTAAATGTCTTTGATTCCGAGTGAAGTCCGTGGTTCGCCTCGTGTTGTCACGTGTCACGTGACGTGTCATAGTTCACCCATTCTTAAATTTGTGCTACAAGAGTACGTTGTTGAGAAAATATACAGTGAAATTTCAATTATTCAGAATGCACTTTTTGCTGAATGCTACCTGAGCTTTTTATTATTAAATTCTTTATGTGATTTGTGTCATGCTTGAATCACTGTTGACAACTGAACGGTTGTATTCCTCCATACGTTCAAAACAAAATAAATAATCACTCGTACCTACGTAACACACATTCCGTTCAAACAAGATAAAACCAAAAGAACAAAAAACCAAATTCAATTTGTATAAAACATAAATTCTATAAAAAATGACTTAACCCAACTGACTAGAAGAATGCCCGCCATTTTGAACGTAGTTTCCGACATGTCGCGCGAGAACAATTTGATGTCTGAGAATCGATCTAACTTCAATAACTCGCGAACAGTTACCACAAGTTTCGAAGTACTCGAGATATAATCGCACGAATGTTACAATGCAAGTATAAATCGTCCGCAAGACGCATGAAAGACAGAAGGCGAGTAGCAGCCAATAAATAATTTATTTGCTCGTATATTTCCGACAGCGCGTCGGTTACACGCGTCAGCCATATTTCAGCAACGTCTTCCGCAAGGTGCGTTTATGGTCATAAAATGCCGAGGTAGACGAGGAAAACGAAGAGGGATGTGGAGAGGAACATGGTGACTCCTGCCACCGCGGCCATCATTGCGTTCTTCTTCTTCCGAGTTGTTTTTGTCATCATGTGAAAATCCTTCCGTGACTGCAAACAAAGTTTAATTATTCTTTGAATACATATGCGATGAATAATTTTGGACAGAGCGATATTATGAATAATAATTGTACAATAATTCTTTAGACAGATCGATATAATGAATAATAATCGTACAATAATTCTTTGGACAGACCGATATAATGAATAATAATCATACAATAATTCTTTGAATAAATCAATGTAATGATGAATAATAATTATACAATAATTCTTTGAACAGATTAATATAACGGATAATAATCGTATGATAATTCTTTGAAGAGATCAATATAATGAATAAAAATCATTTAATAATTCTTTGAATTCATCAATATAATGAATAATACTCATACAATAATTCTTTGAACAGATCAATATAATGACGAATAAAAATCATATAATAATTCTTTGAACTCATCAATATAATGAATAATACTCATACAATAATTCTTTGAACTCATCAATATAATGAATAAAAATCATACAATAATTCTTTGAACAGATCAATATAATGACGAATAAAAATCATATAATAATTCTTTGAACTCATCAATATAATGAATAATATTCATACAATAATTCTTTGAAGAGATCAATATAATGAATAATACTCATACAATAATACTTTGAACAGATCAATATAATGACGAATAAAAATCATATAATAATTCTTTGAACTCATCAATATAACGAATAATAATAACACAATAATTCTTGGAACAGATTATTATAACGATGAATAATAATTATATAATAATCAAAAGATCTCTAAGTTCATAAGACTTAGAACTCATGAACCGTTCACAAGAATGAAGGATTAAAAGTGGAAATTTTCCATTATTTCCATCCTCGATTTTTCAAAGGTTTTATCCCATTGCCACGTCATCGGTGAACGATTAACAAAATGACCAAGTAACGAGCGAAAAATCTGCTCGCGGGTTGCGACCCGTTAATCGTCCCTCGATATTGGCGCAATTAATAGTCGCCGCTATCTTTTCCAGCGTGTGCAAATAAAAAGAGCGTAATCACGACACGCACTACCCTCGCTGAAAATAAATGATTTCAAACGCTGGGGTCGTATCCGCGGTTATTTATTGATCGTTCCTGCTTGAATGAGAATTATTCTCGAATACGATGAACAATTACGGTTTTTCGATAACAATGATTATTTCTCCTGCACGAAATATGGGTTACCCGAGGTGAATGCAGAGGCGATTTATTCAAATATTATTAATATCACATTTTTGAAAGTTTATTGCAATTCGGTGTTTTGTAATATTTTCTATAAAATTTTTGCTAGGACCACTGTACTTCATAAGTTCAAGAGTATTCGTCATTTTTATATTTGTAATCCAACAGATTATTTTTAGAAATTATTAGAAGTTATCCCACCTCTGTTTGTGTATAACAAACTACAATGAAAATGATTTAGAAACCAGCTTAGTCCATGAAAAATCAAGGACACCCTGATGGATATTAATAAATGTAAAATACATCCCCTATAGTGCATCTCTGGTTATAAGATAAAACTAGAATTAGTAGGGTTATATCATTCCTATATTATTCCTACATTATTCCTATATTGTTCTTATTATTCCAATCATTAACACCCCTAAATTACATCACAAAATTATTACCATGATCTGCAAGCTCTGTGTCTTCCGTACAAGGTCATCCAGCCTCTGACCCCTGTCGATAAGCTTCTGAACACCGTCCATCAAAGTTTTCCGAATCTCAGCCAGATCTCCTTCCAGTTTCGGGATAATATCGAGCTCCTGTCGATTGTATTCCTCCTAAAATGACACTCCTTTAAGCCCCCAGTTAAATCCGCGTTAACGACAGTCAACGTCCGCAGATTAAAAGATCGAACCACTATCTTTTTCATCGGTTTCGAGAGATCGATTACTGCGAGGTTGGTCAGGTCTCTCGAGAGGTCCGCTAGAATTGGTAGTTCCATGTAAACGCTTCGCAACCTTTCCAGAAACACCTGGGAACAGGACTCCAGCTTCGCGGCGGACGAGGGACAGTCTGGTTTTGAGGTTAGACACGCGTAGTGCAGTTCGCCTATCAACACGTGTACGGTGTACCTGTGGGTCATCGGAAAAATTTGGTATTTTGCTGTAGATGAACTAGGATATGGTTAGGTTTTGGTGAGGAACTTTTAAGAATTTTTAAGAGGAACTTTTAGGTATGCTGATTAGGTTGATGAGTGGTTAGGTTTGGGAAGTGGTAGGTTAGAGGTTCTTGAAGAGCATGCACACATTTGAGAATATGGGGATTTGGTAATTGGGAATTTTGAAGATTTATGACTTAGGGAATTGGATATTTGGGAGTTTGGGAATTAGAAATTTGGATATTTAGAAGTTGGGAAGTTAGGAGTTTGGATATTTGGGAGTTGGGAGTTGGAAATTTGGATGTTTGAGAGTTGGGAGCTTAGGGACTTGTATGTTTGGAAGATTTGGGGATTTAGAGAGTTTGGGATTTGGAGAGTTTGGGATTTGGAGAGTGTGGGATTTGGAGAGTTTGGGATTTGGAGAAGTTGGGATTTAGAGAGTTTGGGATTTGGAGAATTTGGAATTGGGAGAGTTTGGGATTTGGAGAGTTTGGGATTTGGGGAGTTTGGAATTTGGAGAGTTTGGGATTTAGAGAGTGTGGAATTTGGAGAGTGTGGGATTTGGAGAGTTTGGAATTTGGAGAGTTTGGGATTTGGAGAGTGTGGGATTTGGAGAGTTTGGAACTGGGAGAGTTTGGGAATTGGAGAGTTTGGAATTGGAAGAGTTTGGGATTTCGAGAGTGTGGAATTTGGAGAGTTTGGAATTGAGAGACTTGAGATCTTGAGGATAAATGAATTTAGAAATATCGTAATTTAGTGTATAGAAATTTGGGGATATTGGAATTCTAGTTATGGGAATTTGGCTATACAGGAACTTGGTAATCTATAAATTTGAACACAAGAAATTTCAAAACTCTAAAATCTAAATTCGTACACTTGTACATTCCTACACTTGTTAATTGGAAATTCTGAAATGTGCAAATTGAATAAAAGTAAAAGAAAGTTTCTCTCACTAGTACACTATGTATTACAAATTACTATGTAGTTGTTCCACATAAAATAAACTTCTTTTGAAGTACATATATAGAATGGTCGAAACAATGAACCACGTGCTATCACCACCTTATCAAGAACAAATTATTATATTTTGGCGAGCATGCATATATTATCTCCATTTTTTGTTCACAATGTTAATTTCAGATAGAAAATTATATTAAAGGTTCAAGTGTAATTAGTTTTAACTACACTATCTTTCATTCATAATTGTTTTCTCTCGATCACGAGGTTATTTATTAATGAAACCAACAGTAACTGGTTATAAATAACATAGCTAAATAATGTAGCCAGATTTGGAAGTATAACGTGGTCGTAAATTAAAACGATAATTTAACAAAGTCATTAATTATTGCAATCGTATTTAGCACAGTACTTAATTAGATTGAATTTTTTAACCTTATTGAACTTGAACTTTAATAACATTATGAACTTTTGTGTATCGTAACAAATATTTTATGTGATGCTGTGGTTGCTTTTTCACTAGTTAATCATTATATTATGTTTTTTCTTTGACTACTCTTTATATTACTTTGTTTCATACTTTTTGTTCACTTCGTTTAATTAATTTAATATTGATTTAGTTTGAGTAAAAACAAACTTGCAAGTTCTTAAAAATTTGTATGTGTTACCAAGAGTAAGGAAACATTAATAGAGTAAACCTAACCTAAACCTTAACTTAAAGCTAACTTAATCCTTAACCTAACCTAAACCTTAATATAACCTAATACTCAACATAATTTAACTCTTAACCTAACCTAAACCTTAATATAACCTAACACTTAATATAACTTTACCCTTAACCTAACCTAAACCTTAATATAACCTAACACTCAACATAACGTAACCCTTAACATAACCTAACACTTAACCTAACCTTTAACCTAATCCTAACCAACCCACAATCTAACCTAACCCTTAACCCTACCACGTGGACTATGTCAACAAAACACTGTCACAGTGAAATTTGAAGTACGTAATCAGACACACAGATTAACCCTTAAATCTGTAAGATGACTGTCAACCACATGTCAAATAACAAACTAACTGTCTAGAAAGTTGTAATTTTTTCCGACAAGCAAGTAAAGTCAATTTACATATCAAAGTCAACTTACATATCAAAGTCAATCTATAAATCAAATTCAATCGACTAAATAATTAAGTTTGCTTACTTGCCCCGATCGATGCTGATCTTATCGTTCTCCAGCGTCTTCAGTCCATCCACAGTGCTCAGCGCGATGGCCCTATAAGCCGGGTCCTCTTTCGCCGGGTAATCCGCGACGATTTTACACCCGGACTTCTCCCAGAACGCCACCAAAGCGTAATGCACCGTCTTGCTCATCCCGCAACTGTACAAAAATTGTACCGCACTGTTCAAAAAGTACTGTCTTCACTGAACCTCCATGAAACCTCCTTACCTCTGGATCAACCTGGTAGCACTCGGACTCCTAGCACTCCTACTACTCCTAACACTCCTAGTAGCACTCAAACCTCCTTACCTCTGGATCAACCTGGTAACACTCCCGATCGATAATCGCCCCGTCGACTTAGACAGACGTTGATGAAACGCGGAGGATCATTCGCGAACGGATGACTGGAACGTCTGTGTATCGGTTTTAGAGAGACAGCAAAACACGGTTGTCCGGCTGTTTACCAGGGCCGGTCGGTGTATCGACGATGAGTAATGAAAGAAATTTCGATAATTCTCGATAACGAGCTGCCGAGCGGAGCTCTCGAACGCGTCCCGTCTCGATACATTCCCGTTGTCTACACTTTCGAGTTTTCTTCGTGGCAGACCACTCGAACCGGCGAATGGCGTTTATCGATTAGATATAGGTAACGTGGCTAACGTGCTTTCGATCGGAGTTGCTGGATCTTGAATAACGAACAATTGGAGACGCGGCTTTAGGCGACCCTCCGCGGTTAATCGCTCTGTCGATAACTGATCAATGGGTCGAAGTTGCAAGCATTCCGAGGATGCTTTTCTTTAGGAAACGAGTGGGGAGGATATGGAAGTAGTTTCGACGGATGAGAGTTTGGAAAATTCTTCTGCTTATTGATTGATTGACTGATTGGTTATTGTTGTGGGCGTCGACTACTATGGTCATTAGCCCGATTTTCTGCTTATAATTTTTGGAGATTATGGAAATCTTTGTTGCGAAGTTAGGAATCGAAATTCTTTGGAATTCGTATAGGTTGATTGAAACTTTCTTAATTTTTGTGGAGATTGGGGGATTGGGAGCTTTGATCAATTTGGGAGTTGGAGAATTTGGGGTACTGGAAGTTGGGGAATTTAGAATCTGGGAAGTTTGGAATCTGAAGAAGAGGGAATTCGATGATGTTGGAATCTGGGAAGTTGAGAATGTGGGAATTTGAGAAATTTAGAAAATTTGGGAAATTGGGAAAATTGGAGAAATTTTGGAAATTTGAAAAATTGGGGAAATTGGGGAAATTTGAGAAATTGGGAAAATTGGGGAAATTTGAGAAATTGGGAAAAATTAGGGAAATTTAAGAAATTGGAAAAATTGGAGAAATTTTGGAAATTTAGGAAGTTGGGAAAATTGGAGAAACTGGCAAAATTTGTGAAATTTGAGAAATTGGGAAAATTGAGAAAATTGGAGAAATTGGCAAAATTGGGGAAATTTGAGAAATTGGGAAAATTGTGGAAATTCAGAAAATTTGTAAAAGTGGGAAAATTTGGGAAACTGGCAAAATTTGAGAAATTTGAGAAATTGGGAAAATTGGAGAAATTGGAGAAATTTGAGAAATTGGGAAAATTGGAGAAATTGGAGAAATTTGAGAAATTGGGAAAATTGGAGAAATTGGAGAAATTTGAGAAATTTGGGAAACTGGCAAAATTTGAGAAATTTGAGAAATTGGGAAAATTGAGAAAATTAGAGAAATTGGGAAAATTGGGTGGAGAAATTGGAGAAATTTGAGAAATTGGGAAAATTGGAGAAATTGGAGAAATTTGAGAAATTGGGAAAATTGGAGAAATTGGAGAAATTTGAGAAATTTGGGAAACTGGCAAAATTTGAGAAATTTGAGAAATTGGGAAAATTGGAGAAATTGGGAAAATTGGAGAAATTGGAGAAATTTGAGAAATTGGGAAAATTGAGAAAGTTGGAGAAAATTGGAGAAATTGGAGAAATTTGAGAAGGTTGGAGAAAATTGGAGAAATTGGAGAAATTTGAGAAATTGGGAACATTGAGAAAATTGGAGAAATTGGGAAAATTAGGGAAATTTGAGAAATTGGGAAAATTGTGGAAATTCAGAAAATTTTGTAAAAGTGGGAGAATTTGAAAAATTGGTGATCTCAAAAATTTGAGAAAAGTTAACTTTTCCTTAGAAATTTGGAAGTTTAAAAAATTCTTAAATTTAATAATTTAGAATTTGGAAAATTGAGAAAGTTAAAAAATTTGTGAACAAAAAAAAAAATGTGCGCAAATATTTACTTGATCAGCGTAGATATTACGATTATCTGAAGTATCATTAACCCGACTCATGTAATATTTACTAAAAGTGCCGTAAACCGAACTGTGGCTACCGTGAACAAGATATGAGAACGCGTATCTTCAGACATCTTGTATTAATCGCTGCTGACATTTTGAAGCACATGAATATTTCTTGTAGTTAAATATTCGTGTCAGACATGATTGACGATCGATTAATCGAATCACGATAATCTTCCTTGACAAGCAGATTAAGATTTTTGAATGAACACCTTAATGAAATATAATTTATAATTTAATTGTACTAATGAGTTACTTGTGAATGACTAATCAGCGTGTAGGAACAGAACTAACTTATTGTGTAAGAAATTAAATATAATATGTAACAGTAAATAAAATATCTGTAACAGTGTGCTTTTGTAAAAAATTTCGTACCTTAGAATTAGTAGTACAAGTTAATTATAATTATTTGCTGTTAGCCACTCTTCGATGTCCTGCATATTTGCATCCAACCAGTTGATACTGTTTTCGATTTCTTCGATAGCGTTCCTCTTCATAGTCTCCGTAATTTTAAGATCAGAGTGCTCCATAAAAAAGTGCCTTGCCTGTAAAATGATATTTATTATGGTCACAATTGAACTAAAACTAGTTTGAATCTTATTTAGGAAGAAAGAATTATATTATATTAGATATTACTTCTTGAAGCTTTTGACGATCTATGAACAACGAAACGATCGTACTGACGATCTTCCCCAAGATATGTTCGTTGGTTTCATATTTCATTACCAGGTCTTCTAATCGTAATCTAATAAAGACACATTTGTGATTATTTATTACGTTTTCTTTGTGAAAGAGAATGGCTTTAAAAAGTTATTGTACTGCACGAAAGTCCAAACGACGTCCAATCCTACAGGATTCGATGCGATTTTTATTAACACCCCTGCGAAGTCTTGTTTACGAACGAAGCTCTCGTCCATTGCTTTTTCAAGATACCTAAATCGTGAGATATCTCAATCGTGAAAATTATATTTTGTAAGTATTATATGAAAATATTGTTTAGATTTGAAAATTAAGATTTCGAAATTCTTAGACAACAAACATATATAATTATAAGTTTTTAAATTTGAAGATTTTGTAGATTTCTAGATTTTATAGATTTTGTAGATTTTGTAGATTTTGTAGATTTTGTAGATTTTGTAGATTTTGTAGATTTTGTAGATTTTGTAGATTTTGTAGATTTTGTAGATTTTGTAGATTTTGTAGATTTTGTAGATTTTGTAGATTTTGTAGATTTTGTAGATTTTGTAGTTTTGTAGATTTTGTAGATATTGTAGATTTTGTAGATTTTGTAGTTTTGTAGATTTCTAGATTTTGTAGATTTCTAGATTTTGTAGATTTTGTAGATTTTGTAGATTTTGTAGATTTTGTAGTTCTTAAATTTTTAGATTTTGTAAATTCTTTAATTTTTAGACTAAAATTTTGCAAGATAGAAAAGCATTCAACATAGAAAACAAAGAACGCAATAATCTCAACAGCAATTAGCACACAATCACCCTAAGACAACAGTTTTGCAAGGAAACTACGCATGAACGAACCGATTAAGAATATCTCTGTTCTGGAAGCTGGTCAGTCCAACCATCAGACGTTCCCTTTCCTGAACATCGGTTTCTTTCGCTAGAAGCTGCGACATGTTTTCAAATATTGATCCAGCTTCCTGCGACATCGTGACAGGGCCTATCGACGTGAATAATAAAAACAAGAGGGTACAAGTATATATTTAAATCCCCCTTACCGTACGAGTAGACGATAGACCGAATATCAGCTGGCAGTGGTCGGCCATCTTTGTTCCACAGAAAATTCTTCAGCTTCCTTCCGGCTGTCTCGAGACAGTCGTTGTAACCCACGGAACAGGCTGCGTTCAGTATCAGTACACGGAATTCTCTTGAAACGAATGGAAAGGAATTTTCTTAATTATTGAAAATTTTATAAATTTTACAAAAATTGTTATAGAGAGAGGAAAAGTGTAATAATGTAAGAGGGAGTAGAGACTGACATTTTTTGAAGGAGAATGAGAAAATACTGGAAGATTCAAAAAGAACCTTTCTTTCATTAAAACTCATTCTTATTTGTTGTATCATGTGTTCTGTTTTTATAACATAACAACATTGTTATTTATATAATAATTTATTATAAATGATATAATGTAGAATTTGTAATGTTACAAAAATAAATGATGTGAATTTTGGAAGGTATGAATTATGAAGTGATTCAAGAATTATTTAAGAGAAAGTAGATTTCTTTGAATGAGTTTGTTGGTCTCCTAAAGTGAGGTTAGGTCTTCCTCTACTTTGGGTCGACTTCACTCGCCAATTCGTGGGTTGCGTCCATATGTACCATTTTCGGTAATAATTTATAGTTTACAATACTGCTACTAATCCGCCATTTTTGTCAGTATATCAGCACAATTGCATATTTGAAATTTTCAACGATGTTTCCTATTTTATATCTAAACTTAAACTTAAACTTAAATAAACTAACCTATCAGCAAAAGTATTTCCAGCACGACTCCTCCATCCGACTTCCCCATAAATTTTCTCAACAAGACTCCTGCCATACGACTGAAAATCCAAATCGTTAAATTTTACATCACAAATATAATGCAATTATTACCTGAAAACGATCGATCACACTAGTTCCACCAAGTAATCGATTCATTCTCTCAAACCACTCAGCAGCCACAGCCCACGGTTGATACTCGGTTTCGTTCGACAGATAAGAAGTTAAGTTCATGACCACGTGATAATGCAATTCGATGCCTCCTGCTAAAAGAAAAGCGTCGTGCAACAAGTCGGCTCTGTTCATGGGACTCAATATCTGAAACAGTTCCAATTATAACCAAAAGCAATCACCGAATACATTAAGAGACGATATGAAATGTGACCTAAATTAATTTGTTCGTAATCCTTTTAGTGGCTATTTAATTGAATTTATTTTGATGTAAATATTTTTTATCAGACAAATCACAAGTTCAGTTTTATATAAAAATTCTAAAAAATGTACTCATTTTAAGAATTTACAAAATTGAGATCTGAACTTTGAAACCTAGTGAAAAGAATGATGTATTCATTGTAGTCTTCTGAATACAAAATGGAGGAAGCAGTAATGGAGTGTCTCGATGATGGTTTGAAAATTTACTTCTCTTCAGATTTTATCAATTAATTTATATGTTACTGTGCTTTTATGCTTCCTATGCTATCTTTCTATTTCACAATGAACATCAGAGCTACTACTTCATTAAACAAAATCAAAGTCAACTATTCCACGATATACTAATAACCTAATCACGTTCGGAACATGTGAATATCCAAATTGTCCTATTCAACCGAAAAGTACACCCAAGGTTAATAAACTCGACAATAAAAAAATAAAAAAATAAACGATGAGTTTTGATAAAGGAATATTATTTTAAACAAACTTCCGAATCGATCATTTCAGCCGCAAGAGGCAGTATATTTTGCGTGATTGATTTACGAACGGTGGAACGTACTCGATGATCGCGGGACAATAAATTGCTGAACGCGTACCAAGCATCTCTCGTGTAATTCACAATGTAGTACCCGATCGAGTCGTGATTCAGCTTAATCCAATCCACCGGTCTTCCCACCGACAACTCCGCTGCAATCGAGTTCGCGTTAACGAAGTGGCTGGAATTATTTATAGATGCCGTCATTACCGCAAGAGAAATTTGCGAGGAACCAGTCCAACTTGACACCGTCCCTTCTGCTCGTTACATATTTTATGGGGATGGTCCAGCTGCCGTCGCTGTAAATGCATATGATATTCCATCAGGCGTCTTGGATATTTTACTGTGTTGTATGGGGACGCGGGAATATGGGAATGTGAGGATTTGGGATTATAGAGATTTAAAGGTGACTTAGGGGTACTGAGATGTGGGGAGGGTCTACGTATTTAGGAGTGTCTACGTACATAGAAGTATAACCTTCATAAGTGTAACCTTACACTAAAGTGTAACTATAACCTTCATAAGTGTAACCTTACACTAAAGTGTAACTATAACCTTCAGAAGTGTAACCTTATACTAAAGTGTAACTATAACCTTCAGAAGTGTAACCTTATACTAAAGTGTAACTATAACCTTCAGAAGTGTAACCTTATACTAAAGTGTAACTATAACCTTCAGAAGTGTAACCTTATACTAAAGTGTAACTATAACCTTCAGAAGTGTAACCTTATACTAAAGTGTAACTATAACCTTCAGAAGTGTAACCTTATACTAAAGTGTAACTATAACCTTCAGAAGTGTAACCTTATACTAAAGTGTAACTATAACCTTCAGAAGTGTAACCTTATACTAAAGTGTAACTATAACCTTCAGAAGTGTAACCTTATACTAAAGTGTAACTATAACCTTCAGAAGTGTAACCTTATACTAAAGTGTAACTATAACCTTCAGAAGTGTAACCTTATACTAAAGTGTAACTATAACCTTCAGAAGTGTAACCTTATACTAAAGTGTAACTATAACCTTCAGAAGTGTAACCTTATACTAAAGTGTAACTATAACCTTCAGAAGTGTAACCTTATACTAAAGTGTAACTATAACCTTCAGAAGTGTAACCTTATACTAAAGTGTAACTATAATCCTCATAAGTGTAACCTTATACTAAAGTGTAACTATAACCTCCAGAAGTGTAACCTTACACTATAGTGTAACTATAACCTTCATAAGTGTAACCTTATACTAAAGTGTAACTATAACCTTCAAAAGTATAATCTTCAAGTATAGGAGTTCAAGAGTATGGAAATCTAGAGCTGTATACATATGTAGAAGTATAGAAATCTTCAAGTATAGGGGTGTAGGAGTGTGGAGATCTAGATGTATAGATATATAAAGAAGTATAGAAATCTTCAAGTATAGGAGTGTAGGAGTGTGGAGTCCCAGGAGTACAGTTACCTAGAAGTATATGAACCCACATGTATAGAGATCTAGTAGTACATGAATATAGAAATGTAGGAATCTATAAACCTAGAGATTTAGACCTAACCTAACCTACCAACTTACAGATCTACTGATTTAGAAATTTAATCATTACACATTATACACATATAACCCTTATAATATGCATGTGTCCACATATGTAAATGCTCTCTTAAAGACTCTGGTGCATAAAGACTCTTATAACTGACATCAAAGTAATCTTGTACAAAGTAACTTTGTGTGAAAGTAACCTAACCTAACCTAACCTTTTACTGTTTCCTATAGACCCACAAACCATTCCACAATTAATATAATAGTAATAGTATTGTATAATAGTAATTAAATCCTAATATCTCAAACTTACTCGATCGTTTGCTGGAATTTCTTGCTAATCGCAAATCGTCGTCTCGACAACTGGAATATCGTTCCATCCTGACGAACGTTGATCACCGGAAATCCAGGAAACTTCGTCCATCTTGTCATGAAGTCAGCAACGTCGATAGCGATTCGTGTACCGTTTTGCAGAATCTCAAAAAGCTCTCGAGATTCGGTGTTACGAAAACGATGCTTCTGCAGGTAATATCTGATGGCGCCTATGAACTTGGAATTGCCGATTGCGTCCTCTAACATTTTGATCACCGACGCAGCCTAACATTCAGAATTGCTGTAGTCTGTTACTGATTGTTATTGTTATTCTCTGTGCTTGAAATGTGATTTGAAAGGATTCGAATATAGTGAAACCCACTTTTTGGTAGGAGATCCTGTCGAATAGTTCTTCGATCTCTTCAGGGTTTTCAACGCGCTTCACAATGGGACGAGCACGTAATTTACTGTCGTGTTTCATGGATACGTACTTAGTGTATATCGGGAAAGAATGCATCTAGTGGAAAAAGGGAGTCATTTTTAGCTTTGAGGAGGAGTACATAAAGATTTGAAGGTGTTAAAAAGGATTCAGGACATGATGTACATAATAATGTTTCAAGTTTGTGCTATGACATGTCACATATGTTACATATGAGACAAATGAAAAATTGTTGCTGTAAGGCTTGAATCTCTGTTTTAACAACCTTGTAACTTGTACTGGATGATCAATTAACAGGTTTCAAAAAGAAAAATTCAATGCAATCAAAGTACATAATACGGTTTCAAGTTTGTCCTATGACGTATCACATATGTTACATATGAAGCAAATGAAAAATTGTTGCTGTAAGGCTTGAATCTCTGTTCTAACAACCTTGTAACCTGTACTAGATGATCACTTAACAACTGTTAAAAAGAAAAATTCAATGCAATCAATGTACATAATAATATTTCAAGTTTCTGCTATGACATATGTCACACATGTTACATACGAAGCAAATGAAAAACGAACGCAAAAGATCATCTTCTGTTCCTCATGATGCAAGATCCTTATTAACATCTTAAAAATTGCAACTTAAAAGACCAGGTTCCATTCAGGAAACAACGAGTCAACAGCTCTGTATTCCATGTAAGTAGCGAATCCCTCGTTCAGCCACAGATCGTTCCACCATTTCATGGTAACCAGATTACCGAACCACATATGTGCCAACTCATGGGCCACAGTTAAACTGACTCTTTTCGTGTTCCAGCAAGAACTACTGTTCTCGTTGTGTAGCAGCTCTGTTTCGCGAAACGTGACTAGACCCCAGTTCTCCATTGCTCCGGCAGCAAAATCGGGTATGGCGACCAGGTCTGATTAACAATATTCTTTTGTGAAATATTTTCAGTAAAAATGGCTATTGATGATTAATAGTAATTGGTCAACTATTACACTCAGTATCGTTTCATTAGAAATTGATAAGAATGTTCACAATACTTAGTACTTTAATAATTAATGGTTTTTAATTACTATGTTACTGTTCGTTAGTACTCTATTACCTTCCTTTATGTTTTATTATATACCTAACCTAATTGATAAGTACTACTGTTTAGGTAACATAATCTAATTGTTAGGTACTAGTGGTTATGTAACTTAACCTAATTGTTAGGTACTACTGTTTATGTAACATAACCTAATTGTCAGGTACTACTGTTTATGTAATCTAACCTAATTGTCAGGTACTACTGTTTGTGTAGCCTAACCTAATTGTCAGGTACAACTGTTAATGTAATCTAACCTAATTGTTAGGTACTACTGTTTATGTAACATAACCTAATTATCAGGTACTAGTGCTTATGTAACCTAACCTAATTGTCAAGTAGTACTATTTATGTAACAAAACCTAATTATCAGGTACTAGTGCTTATGTAACCTAACCTAATTATCAGGTACTAGTGCTTATGTAACCTAACCTAATTGTCAGGTACTACTGTCTATGTAACCTAACCTAATTGTCAGGTACTACTGTCCATGTAACCTAACCTAATTGTCAGGTACTACTGTCTACGTAACCTAACCTAATTATCAGATAACACTGTTTATGCAACCCAACCTAATTGTCAGATATCACTGTCTATGCAACCCAACCTAATTGTCAAGTACTACTAATTACATAACCTAACCCAACACACAATTACCAAGTTTCGGAAGTGGATACTCAATCTGAAAAACAGTCAGGTAATACTGCATCGCTCTAACCGCCACATTCAAGGCGAATTTCGTTTTATTCCTATACATGGGCCTCGTGCAAATAGTTAGTGGAATTTGTCTTCCACTCAGGAGATACAAATGTGACCCCAGACACTCGAAATCACTGATAACAAAAGCAACGAGGTACGTGGACATTGGTGGTGTAGGTTTAAACAACGTGATCGTGTCCCTACCGTTTTTCATCTTCTCTACTTTCTGCAAAGTAATTATTTTTATCAAACTTTCTTGATGAGTTAATTTTTGAACTCACTGCAATCGGCATGTTGGACATTGCGTGATACGATTTCTTTCTATGAATTATGCTAACGACGAAGATGGATTTGAAGCTGGGTTCGTCGAAACATGGAAAGGCGCTTCTTGCGTAGGTCGGCTCAAATTGTGTCACCGCTAATTTTCTGTGTGACGAAATTATTTTTATTCAAATATTTTTGTGTAATGCTTTATCGTATAATTACCTGATAGACTTATTTTTATCAACGTAGGTACTCAAATAGAATCCAGTAATCTTCCCCTTTAAGCTCCCAGTGAAATTCATTTTTAAGAAATATTTCCCCGAAGGGACTTTTCTGTAAAATTGAATAATCAACATTTCCCGTTTCTTTGCGGGGAAAACGGATTTCAGCTGAACTTCCGCTCGCGTCTTTCGCGAATATAATTTCGTTGATGTAACAGTTAAATCCTTCGAATGTAAGACGATGTAATTTCTAGCCTTAAAGCACAATTTATCGAATATTTATTTAAGCTAAAAAGATTAATCATTTTGCAACAAAAATGTGAACCTTTTGCAATTCGACGTCGATACGAACGAAACCATGGAATCCATCGTTTACAAAATTCGGAGAAATTACGATCACATATTTTTTGGGAATCACATCTTCGGGCAATCGTTTCTCGATCCCCATCGATTCGTTAAAACCTAAATTTCCATGAGACATAACCACACAAAAATTCCTCTTCATTAAGATTATTGCAATTAAGATAAATTGCCAGCTGCTCATTTCGCTCGTGAAAGACTCCTTGTTCCTCGCACAAGCCTTTTATTTCCTCAGGTCAAGCTTGACAAACAGAAATTTTTATTCAGCTTTATCATTTCTTCAAGCGGCGCTTTTTAATTTGGAAATGAATGGTCCCTTTTAATTTCCAAATGAAACTAAACTTGTTAACCGCTTCAAACTATTTTCGATAACATATTTCGCATACTTCATGTTGTACAAATCACTTTGTCATACTAATCCGGGACAATCACAATAATTATTGTAGAGTAATTATAATAATTTATGTACTATAATCGTCGTAATCCCATAAGCTGATCGACAATGAAATTATTGAAATACTTTCATCTAAAATTTTTATGATCATTTTTCGAGATGATTGAATAGATCAACATATTTCGAATTCATCAAGAATATGTATTCTTGACATAAAATAATGTATTCAACATATCTTGAATACATCTTAAATACATCTTGAATACATCTCTTAACATTCAAACACTCGTTAAAATTCGTAAATAGACGATTGAACAAATCAAGTCAAAAATTTGCAGAAGACGAGTAACCAGAATGAAACAATTGTTCTTCCAGCAGAAACTGCTACCGAGTGAAAGTTGTGTCCAGAGTGGGACAGAATGGCATACTTCGTCACGGGCCAATCAGAGCGTCCATGACAGTTTACCAACATAGAGGGCCTTTCATATAAGATACGGATAAAAGGAAGGGAGTAGGGGAATATATAATTGTTACATAACTTTGGTTCAAGTTAGTCTCCTGCGAACGTTGCATTCGAGTGTACAAAACTTTAAATCGAAGTTCAGTAAAGTGTTACACTACTAAACTCACAATGCCGAATTATAAGTTAGTGTATTTCAACGTGATGGGTCTGGGAGAGCCCATAAGGTTTCTCCTGAGTTACGGTGGTGTTAAGTTCCAGGACGTTCGAGTACCGATCGCTTCAGACGAATGGAGCACCCTCAAACCCAGTACGGAATTTTTATGTCAAGATTTTACGCCCAGATTTGTAATTAAGAGAAAATTTTTTGGGTCGCTGATTTTTTAACGTTTTTTCAGGTACACCATTCGGTCAGCTACCCACGCTGGAAATCGATGGCAAAGTTTACTCGCAAACGTTGCCTATTTGCCGTTACCTCGCCAAACAATTTAATCTGCTCGGCAAAACCGATTTGGATACGCTGCAAATCGATGCTGTCGCGAACGCTCTTCACGATTTCAGGCGGCGTAAATATTGATTTCTTTCCTTCTGCAAATTGATTCCCTTAGAAACTCCGTGATAAGTCCCTTCCTTCTTGCAGTGACTGTGTCGCAGTATTATAGGGAAGCTGATCCGGTTTTAAAGGCTAAGAGAAAAGTGGAGGTGATGTCGAGAGTTATACCGTTTTATTTGGATAAACTTGACGGACTGGTGAAAGACAATGGAGGATACTTTCATGGTGGACAGGTAAGAATTTTTCATTCCATCATATTAGATTTATAAGTCTTCCTTATTATACAAATTTGTAAAACTTCCTTTATTTTCTGATTTCAGTTGAGTTATGCGGACCTCTTTTTTGCTGCCATTTCGGATTCGTTGAGTATAGCTTACGAGGCTGATATTACGAAAGATCATCCGCGTTTGAAAACCCTCAGACAGAAGGTTTTAGAACTGCCTGGTATCAAAGAGTGGATGGAAACGAGACCGAAAACGGAAATTTAAATTCTTTCATTCATCGAACATTTAATTTTAATTCTGTACAGTATTCGTTTGTTCAAGGTGGATTGAGTAATCTATTTGCTCTTTTGTAATTTGAACTTTTATTTCCAATTTGCATAAAATTGGAACACTATACAACTCTAGAACAATTCATTTAATAAACTGAATGTACTTTGTAAGCTTTTTTATTTTGATATTCTAGCACAATTTGAAAATTGTACGCTATCGCCATCTAGCCATGAGCGACGATATTAATGAAACAGAAAATTACTTCTCTTTGCAGAATAAACGTTTCCTACGCTTTTTCATTGTAAAAAAATCATTCCATGAGTATAATATGACTCAAATAATATTGTCACTAAAGGTTTGAATGACTTAAAATCGATAATTATAAAGGAACTCTAAACGACAGATGCTCTACCATTAGACGGCCATAGCTTCAAAGCGCGCGAAACTGAATTTTCTCAATTTTCGACTTTAACGCTTTCAGTATGCTATAATATCGTTACACAACTTTCATCGAAACTCTAGAATTATTTAATTATGCTAGAGAAGCTCAGAAGTTGTTCAATTTACGAAAAAAGGACGATATTGTGTCTTTATTTTCAACCGTTAGATGGCGTTAACGATACCTCTAAAACGATAAAACAAAAGTAAATCTATACATCTTTATCCACAAGCAAGGAGTATGAAACATTTAATTAGTAAAACAGCTGAGAATCTGCAAAATAATAAATGTCTGTGCAGAATAATTTAAAGACAAAATAGAAATAGAAGTACTATTTTAACGAGCTTACGAAATACGTGTGCTTTCTATGCAGTATAGATTAAGAATTAAGAACTATTCATTGCGCATAAAAAGTAAGATTTTATAAAAAGTGTATACGCAGTAAGCTGTATCGATATTTCGCGCAATTCAAATTACGCGAGCGTCGATAGACCCGCAGCGGTAAGTGGCGCCTCCATTGGTCGCGCGAGTAGCGTCAGCTGACG